AGACGTTTCGCAGACTCATAGAAGTACTTGACAATACCGCGCTTTACTAATTGTGGAGGATGTGAATTATACGTTCAGAAAATCTCTTTCGTTTTTCAATTTCAACTACAAATTTATCCTCCTTTCTATCCTTTGCACTCTTTTTGTGTTAACACGCGGCGCGTGATTTTCATAAGTAAGCCAATCACGTCAAAGAACTCTAACCATGACATTGGAACACTGCCGTGGATATTTTTCGCGTACTCTTTTTGTTCCACGGAGTTGTTTTTGAGCTTTCTTTCGCGCAAATTTGTTATCCATTTGTTTGGAATTTTAAGACGTTTCGGAGTTTTTATTTTAGCCAACTGTTGCGGTTCATTTAACAAGTTTAATAAATATTTTCTAAGGAGATAAGACTCTAGCCTCGCCCTCTTTTGGTAAATTAATTTTTTACAATACGTTAGGCGTTGGTCAGTATGTGTCAGTCTCCTGTATACGCAGGTGGTTGGGCATCCATCAAGTTTTTTGTTAACTGTGGTGTCGAGGAAGGCCAATTTGTTTTTGCTCATTTGTTGATACTCTTACAGGTGATTAAGTGCGTCCTTCCTTTCCCTTTTTTTTTTTTTGTTTCTAAAAAAGTTCTCAGTCCAACTTCCCTATTTTAAAAGCAAACCTCTATTACAAGCGAGTTTTACCTCCCCCAACTCTTTAAGTATTCTGTCATATCTTCTCTGAAGGACTCAGTCCATCGCGACCCAGATCAACCGAGGTATCATTCTGTCGCTCAAGCTTTGGGGCTTTGCGACCACGCCTTTGTGTCGCTTGACTTTAAAAGCCTAGTCATAATTATTTTTGAATCGTCAGTTCTTTCGCTGTTTAAGGCATTTGCAAAGACGAATAGAACCATTACCGACTTTGAATTACAATGCAGTCGATTAAGTTAAACAATGGCAGATCAATTCCGTCGCTAGGCCTCGGAACTTGGAAAAGTAAACCGGGCGAAGTCGCCAATGCAGTTAAAGTAGCCATTGAGGCCGGCTACAGACATATAGATTGTGCTGCAGTTTATGGCAATGAAAAGGAAGTAGGAGAGGCTCTAAAAGCTTGCATTGGAACTACGGTGAGGATATTTTATCCGAAACGACCATTTTAGAACCGGCGATTTGAGAAGTGGATATGATAAGTATTCATGGGTGAGGTTCGCGCAACGAGGACTTCTGTAACATTACAGGTCGGCGTGTTTGGCCCTTAAAAACGCTTGAAATTTGGTCGGCACAGTGGTGCCTCGTTGACTGAGCTATTCAGATTTTGGGCGTAAACCCAATTATTTGAGGAGCTTTCTAGGTCTTCTAACCTTGACGATTAAGCAATACAATTTGTAATGCTAGTCTAACGGGCACCAGTTTATACGGGCATAAAATTTATTCACACCCAAAGAAAGGCTGAAACGAATTTCGTATACCTTGTACTATTCTAATATAAAGCGCCAATCTTAAAGGAATATATTATCTCACCATCATTGCCTTTTAGCAAAGTTAAGAGCTGCATCCACAGTGAAATTTAAGGATGTGCAGAAACCTTGCCTTACAGCAAGACATACTTAATCATGGTGATATCAAGTCACATCAAAGAAAATTCTTAAATAGCATTGATCCAGATTTGAAAGAATGAAAATAAGCTGGATTGATGGATTTGGCTGAAAATATGCACATATCTTTGGATTTGTGAATGTTCTTGTGAAGGCTCTTCTTTTGCACACAAGGGATATGAGACCTGGCAGTCTTGCAGGGCAAGGGGTCTGGGTTTGAAACCTGGGCCCGGTTGTCTGAAGGCTGATTAGTGCAAACACAGAATAAGATTTTAATCTGAGTTCCTTTATTCCTTTGTTTAAAAGCCTCTTTTGAATAATTTTTTCAATTCTTTTCAGAGCATCCAGTTATGAAACTATAGGCAAAAATAACTATATTGAATTTTAATTTTAAAGCTTTTTGGTCTAAAATCAGATTTCCCTCAAACCCTAAGTTACCTTAACCCAGCTTTGAACAACCTAGCCCAGGCTGGGTTGATGAGTTGTGTCCTTGCATCAGGCAAGACACTAAACATTCAAAGTGCTCCTCCCCACCCAGGAGTATCGATAGGTACTGTCCCCTCCCCACCTAGGAGTAGAAATAGTTACTGGAAAACTTTTAGAGAAACCTGATTAAATGCTACGGGAGGGGGTGGGCTATGATGAATGAGCATCCTATCCAGGGAGGAGTAGTTAAACTCCTAGTCACTTCATACCACAGAAACTGGGATACACTCAGGCAGAATGGGCTACTTGGCTAGATTGTGACCTCTGTCCTTTTTTAAAATTCTTTTGGTGCAGCATTTTAGATTTTCCTTACCCATGTTCCTGTAGACCTCAGGATTTGGGAGAATGGCACAAACAAATTCTAATGAAAAAAATTTTATCTCAGAGTTATATGCTATTTCTTATTGGCAGGTGAAAAGAGAGGATCTGTTTATCACCTCTAAACTATGGAACACAAAGCATAACCCTGCTGATGTGCTACCTGCTCTGAAGCGCACACTGAGTGACCTACAACTAGACTACCTTGACCTTTACCTTATACACTGGCCATTATCTTTTGAAGATGGTGATAACCCTTTCCCTAAGGAAGCTGATGGAAGTGTAATCTATGCATATCATGATCCATGTGATACCTGGAAAGCTATGGAGCCCTTAGTGGATGAAGGCTTAGTCAAAGCTATTGGTATTAATTATTTTCTTAACTTACAGTGATGCTGAGGTATTGTTAATACTCATTTGCATTGATCTGCTCTACAACAGTTTGCAGCGAACGTTTGCCAGACTGCATTCAGCATTTACAGTTTTAATAGGAAATTTTGACCAAAAGACTATACATTGGTCAAAAATCTGAGTACAGTTTTTTCACTGGCCAATAATTCATTTGTGGGATTCTGAGTCTACTCTTTCACTTCTAGGAGTGACCAAAAATGTTTTTTTTGCCATCTGTGCTAGTAACCATCTCAGGAACTGTCTAGATCAATGGAGCAATTAGGGGAAAGCTTTTGTAACCCTTTACTTGCCTGAGAGAGAGTGAGAAGGAGAAAAAAGCTTAGGTCATCAGCAATTAACCAAAAGGAAATACAAACACAAGATGCTTATTGTTATATTCATTAAGTATTGTATTAATGTTGGATCTTTGGACCCATGTGCTATCTTTAGGCACCAGGCAACCCACAGTGTAAATTCTCTTTTCATCTGTCACTGCTCGAACATCTTTATTAAGACTAGCAGATCCAAAAAGATTAGTTTTTCACATCATTATTATTTTGCATCTAGCAGGTCTTCTTAATTCTATGACACATATTCTAATGGTCAATAGTATAACTGGCCTTCAGGTGATTTTTGAATTTTTCTGTTTTATAGGATTGTCAAATTTTAACAGTAAACAAGTTGATGACATTATAGAGAAGAGCCGTGTAAAGCCTGCTGTACTACAGGTGGAGTGTCATCCCTACCTCAATCAAGCTGATCTTTTAGCTCATTGCAGGAAGAGAGATGTGGTTGGTAAGTTTCTCCTTTAAACCTTTAACCTAAGATCTGATTGTTAATTCTCCCTTTCAGCTGCTACACATTTCCTAGTAAACTAGTTGAAGGAATTTGGTGTTAGATCATGATAACATTTTTCACTTGATAAGTTTGAGTTTTCTCATTACCTGTTTGCTGGATAATGTATGGATGCTGTAGGGAGAACTCATATGTTAATCACTTTTAGAGGTTAAGGGTTAACAAATGCACAGCTATACATAGTTCAAGTCTTAAACCTTTAT